CTCAATTTAGTCATATAAACTTTCACTTAAATTCAATAAAATTATCTGGGACAAAGAGACAAAGGAAAGAATTCCATAGTCAGGTTAGGTTAATTTCTTACGGTTTAGCTTAACCTGCTCAGAGGCTCGGATCTCTGTTGAAAAAGACATCAACCCAGATGATATGCTAATGACTGGACATGTGTTTAGAAAAATATAGAGAAATAGCTCTTGAATACTGCCATTACTGACAGCTCTCACCCTGTGGAAGCGCTTGTACTTCTCCGTAAATGCCCTGCAAGAACTTGCTAGTAAACGTATACAGGCCAAGGATCACAACAACCAAAAAGATGCGGTAGCACCTTGTATATATACAGTCTACTGGCTAACTGCATCCATGAACTTGACGATCTTTTTGCAGTCTCATTTATTTCCTAGTAATTTTGTGTTGACGCTACATGCACTAGGACTCTGCTTTTTTACTGTACACGAAAAGGTCATTTAAGTGCATACGCAACATGTTATCCCCTCAGAGAATACATAACTTAATAATGTAACAGCTTTTATCATCTTTTCTCTTGTGTTTGAGCTATTTTTCTGGTACCGCTGCTGTTAGACATGGCTTAAACATGAGTCAAGTGTCTGACACTTGCTGCATTTCCCAAGAGCCTGTTCTATCCCTCATCAGGACAACACACCTTTTTGAGCAACAGCTGCTCACAGACTCTTTCCTGAGTTACTATAGATAGAGGACACCATGTATGAAAAGTAATACAGTCTGTGACAGCTGATACGAAAGCCAAAATTAACAGTAAAGAGAGATAGCTTTTTTTCCCCCCCCAGTTTGCCTTTGCAAGCAGAAGAGAGGAGAAGTGATTCTACCAACACATAGAAAGCTCTCTCTGCTCAGAGACCACTGCTGAGTGATGTTCTTAGAGGCTGCCTGGACTTCCTCCTGAGCATTCAACTCCACTCAACAGAAAGTGATGGCAGGGAAGTAATTCAATTGTTGCCACTTCATTCCTTGCCCCTTCCACCCATTATGCATCATCATCTTCCACACTCAGGGAAGCAGAAAGACAGCAATTATCTTTCCCTTATCTTTTTTTCCACAGCATTGTTGCTTGTTCAAAGCAAATAGATAAAAAAAATTAATTCCCTTCTGGAGAACTTCCAGAAAGCACGGTAGCCTGCATAGGTAAATACTTTAGCTTAAAAAATGGAATCAAATGCCTTTCCTGCTCTCCAGATGCAATCTATTAGTTACAACACACAAACCATGACAGGACTTGCTTCCCTTCCTTTCTTAAGCTTTCAGAAAGTCACTATCCAATAGCTGAACCCACGTAGACACATGCCCAAGGGTGAGAACAGGACAGACACACAAAGCCTTACGGGTCAACACTGTCAATAGGTCCAATTTAACTTAAAAGAAGTAGTATATATTGGGTTGTGAAACACACTACCTTTAATCATCTATTGTTAGAGTTAGTCACAAAACCCCATATCACTTAAGACCTGTTGGATAGAAGCTTTTAAGCTTTTCCCCCCTGCCCTCCAAAAGGGGACATTTATTTTGTCATACATTACCTTTTTGTTCAGACATTCTTTTGATCTTCTTACCCTAACCCAATAGCTGATTTTGCTCCAGTCCAGCTTTCTTGGCACAGTCTTGGACCAGATTAAGCTGATCATCTCACCAAAGCCTTAGGTTTGGGTATCAAGACTGGTGATTAAGAGAGCAGCAGCTACACTGAAGAGCTCTCTGGAGTCCTCTGTCTCCCCTGCCATACAGAGGAAGCAGAGCTAACTGTAATCCCGCTAGGCAAAACATTCATCTCCATGAGCATTTATGAATCTATTGTTTTTCATGGCAGGCTATCAGAGATGAGAAATATTGAATGACCAGAGAGCGCTCTCACAGAAGATGATAGTCTGCTGGCTGTCGTCTTTCACTCACCAGTGTCTCTAGTTCCACACTGTTTACTCTCTACCTCAAAAAAGCCATAACTAAACATTTCACTGCTCCAGTGTTTTAAAAAACAACAAACAATTCATGTGGTTAGCTTCTAAATATGGCTCAGTTATTCCACTTAGATGAGAGGCAAGCACTCACCTTATAAGCACTCTTCTGTCTCCTTTAAATCTGCAGTTGCACTACACAAAGCTGTTAGTAACAATTCTAACCTTTTCTTCCCATCACCTGCCCCTTGTATCTGTACCTATTCAGTGGCGTAATACAACAACTATTTGCACTAGCCACTGCCAAATCTGCAAAATTATTCAGGTAAAAGATTTGCCTTTAAAATAACCAACCTTACAAAATTCTTTCCTTTTTTTTTTTTTAAATAGGATTAGGACAAAGATTTGTACCACTGTACTCAGGAGGACAGTGAGCTGAGATCAGGGTCAAGCAACAGAAATTAAGCCAATTCTGCTTTTGAACACGCTGCACTGTAAAATTATGGCCTAAGAAGATACAGAGAAAAGAGAGGATACAGTGAAACCTGTCTCCACAGAAGCAACTATCCGCTGGTGTAGGATCCATTCAGAAACCAAAACCACTTATGGAACTTGCAGCATACCAAGGAGTCCAAGGAACTGAATGTAACAGTTAAATTCCATTACCCCATCACTTCCCTCCTTATACCCCCATTCACATGCCTGAACCAGGAAGGCATTTTAGTGTCTCAACACAAACAAGGCACACAGAAAATCTCTGCAATACTTAAATTGCAACACACACTGCAAAGGTATCTAAGACTTTGGGATTTGTAAAAAGTAGCTGGAAATTAATAGATATTATCTAAACAATAACATAACTACAAGTATGCATCAAGCATCATTTCATTATGCAATTCCCCAAGATCAATTGTAGTCCGAAGAAACAGGTTAGAACAAATTTGTGTGCTTCTGCTCTTTTTTGCCACTTTTCAATCAAGCAGGATTACTAATTTCTGAAGATATGTAGGAATATAAATCCGTCAGTTTCATTTGTGCTTTTCAATTTTATGCTGCTCTGGGTATTATAATTTAGTGTTATGAGTACTCCTAATATAAACTGCTGTCACATACAGTAGAGTGTTTACAGAACATATAGCTACGCAACAAACATTTTCACATCTCGCTGCTCCTATCAAGAATTTTCCTTTGATAGGTTGGCATCTAGTTTTCACTTTGTGGCAGGGTCCTTGAATTCTTTACCTTATTTTTGGTTGTAAACAGTTCTTCACATTTTGTATAGCATTTATTTTAACCTTAGGTGAACTGGGTTTTGTTGCATGCATGGCACATGATCTAGGCAGGGAAGAAGGAGCCTTCCTGCTCCACCTTGTGAGACATGGATGAAGGCTGACTCTCTGGGAAAAGCAGGGCCCCCAATGAGCTGCTGAGGTGACTCTGAGGTGACACAGTTCTCAGCCATGTAGATTTTCCAGAGATGATTGTTTAAAAAGTAAAACAATCTAGACCCCCCCAGTCACAGCTACAGATAGTGAACACTGCAATTCTTTGCATTTTTAATACCACTGAAGTGTTCTCAATATTTAGCCACATAGAACTTGTACGTGAAATGTATTTTCAGAAAGACAGTAACAAGGAATCTTATAGACCACTCATCTGTCAATTTTGCTGACCCACTGAGCACTCTAAGAAATGTTATTTGTTCTTCTTATTGGTCTCAGTTCTAATTTCTTTAATGTCTTGTGGACATTAAAATTAAAGTATCGTGCAGGCAGCACACTGCTTGTGAATAACGACCTGGAAAGTCATTGTTAAAGGTAATGCAAATAGTAATATCAGACTTTCTAATGCCTCCTGTTGCAAGATGGAGTTCTGTTGTTCAGACCTCTGTCAAAAACTTTACCTGTTCCATGCTTCAGTATGTGTCTCATTATTTAGACTGTTGATTCACTAACACTTTAAACTGGAATAAGCTAGAACTGCCCCCGCTCATACCTGCTCTTCCTTTAACCTGACACAAAATATTTGAGCATCTGCTCAAATGGACCACAAAGCTGAGATAGCCTGGCAAAATGTTTCAGTTTTTATTCCAGATCAGTTCCAAGTCTGGTTCATTGAATGGCGAGAAAAACTCTAATGATGACCCAGGGAGGCAGACAACACAGGGAAAGCAGTGATCACCTGACAGTGGGAGGAGCACTGCTTCTTTCTTTCAGTGTCCTCCATTCATCCCTGAACCTATTCAATTAACTAAACACGCAGAAAACTAAGCCAAAGAGCGGGGCTTCTTGTTTCTCAATTCAACACAGGGTTCAAGACAGACTGTTTCAACAAAGTACAGTTCCAGAAGAGATGGAAAAGAGATGAGAGCAGCCCCACAGCTACAACAGAGGGCTGGAGATGAAGGAGTAGGAAGGGTTAGAGGCAAGGATGGATGGAGAAAGTGACTTTCAGTTCTGGTGAGATGTTCCTTTTATTTGAAAGAAACTTGCTTTACCATGTATCTGCCATTAAAGAACATAGAAAAGCTAATAAATACCTGCATTGTCTTTAAAATATTATCCTTTAAAACATCACTTTAAATGAAGGCCAATCAACCAACCAACACGTTTGTACTTCTGAAGCCTATACATAACAACCTGCTGCAAAAGATTCTAGAATGTTATTTACCCCTTTTGCATCATTAATAGATTACATTCTTGTTTTGTAGGAATTTGCCAAAGATATTTCTGGTTGCCTTTAATATCTACTTTTTTTGTAGGCTAAAATCCTCTTTTCTGACCACCAATGATTCATTGAGAAGGCACACGTATTTGCAAACTGGTTTGGCAGGCTACAGTATTCTTCATGTTTTTTCTTTCAATAGAATAAGAAGATTTATCATGCTCTGTCCCACCACAATAATGGAAACATATGTCTTATGGTTTTACATGTTTATAAAACTTCCAGTCACATTCTTGCTTAAAGTAATTGTATATGTATCACAATGTCATTCAGAAATTAAAAAAAAAAAATCAATAAATGTTATGATACATGTGTGATATGACAAATTAAAATACCTTAGTTTGCTTTCTTGTATGCTGAGACCACTTTCCATGGATAACAGATTATCATATGTATCTTGATGTGAATGTCTTATACCTTGGAGGGGTGCCTCTCTGTGCCAGCCTCTGCAATCTAAATCTTTGTGGCTATCTGCAGAGAAAGAAAAAGCTGCTAGAAATCTTTCAGTCCATTTTACAGAAGGAACTTCTAAAAGAGGAAGTACACATTAATGAAATTAATTCATTAAATTCATCGTAATAGGGAATTAATCAAGTCAATCACAAAACCTTATTAGAATTAAATCACTTTTACAAGAACAGCAGAAATAGAGTTCCAAGATCACCTTCCGATTGTGGCTCTGAAAACTTCAAGAGGCCTAAACCAGCTACCTTTTTGTTACACAAACTTGGAAACAGTTCATTTTACAATCAAAAAATGAGCTATTGCTGGATTGGGAAGAAAATGGATCTCTTAATTTTCCAGTCCAACTTCAGCTCTTAACTGGCCGTGTATTTCTTATGTGTCCATGCACAGCATTCCCAGATGTGTGTGGGGTTTGTTTTGGTTTCGTTTTTTTCTTTGGCTGATTTTTGGTTTTGTTGTTGGGTTTTTTTGTATTTTAAGTAAGGAATCAGGTTTTACTGTAATTCCACATGCTATTGGCCTAGAACCGACCTTTTTTTCCAAGTTCTTATCTCTTTGGAGAAACCTGGCAAGTGTCATCTGCAATTGCAGGTACAAACTGATTTCCTGCAAAACATTTTACTCTATAAATCATCCTATTGGCTTTAGTGAGAGGAAAGGGTTCATGATCTGGCCCTGAGTGTGAGGAAATTTTCTTCCATACTGGTTAGAAGAATTTGTGTACCCATCTCTTTTCTTCCATTTTTGATGTTTTGGTTAAATATTAGGAATTATGTTTTGATTTATTTCCTCTCACGCTCTTTACTCACACCTGGTTAGCTGCCAAAAAATTAAAATGTATGTTGTATCTTTTGCTCAAAATAAAAGCAACACCGTTGAGAAACAAAGAGAAGAAAGATAATACTTTGGAAAACAACAGGATCTTGTGGTTTTCCTACTGCATAAGCTAATGCCAACTTTTAGGTTGTAAATATATGTGAATTATTAGGCCGATCAAAATTGTATCAGAACAATTCATTTTCTCATTTGCTAATGCCTTGGTGTATCAGTGAAATAGTATGGTGACTAATGCAGAAACAGGGATTAATCTCATCATTGTTACTTCATTCTTGTTAACCTCATATCCTTATTTGCTAATCAACATATATGGCAAAAAGTGATAGTGAGTTGAATTTCAACCAAGCCTAAGAGGTGAATACCTCCATGGCATTTTCCAAAATTACTCACCACGTTAAAGTCCTGCTGACTTTCAGTAGGCTACTTGGCAAAATGAGATCTTAGTTCCCAAGTCACACAAATTACTTTCAAAATTATAGCTATTACCAAATACATTCCACTTAAGTAAAATAGTCTTCTATTTCTTTAGCTTACATTCTCTATGTAAGGTATAACTGAATGTTAAGGAACATGATATATGTCTCTCAAGCTGGATTTAAGAAAAAATAAGTGATGTCCTTTAAATTTTCTTCTGTCTTCTCTTACAAGAATGACCTCATAAATTTGAAGCAAAATTACTGTATTTCATAACAAAACCTGACTATCCTTTAAAAAACTTGACTTATAGAAACATTAAAAATGTTTGCAATTCAGCTGTAGTATTCATGTAGAGTCCGTATTTTATTACGGTGAATTTGCTTGCAGAATTTTAAATATATGAGATCCTCATTTTACTTAGCGGCCTTTTAACGGAGCTCACGGAGCTTAATGGAGATAGCAATGGTGAAATGACAACTCTGTTGCTACCACAACTAACGTTAGACGATACTTCTAGAAGAAAGCACTCATGAATTAACTAATGATATGAACACATTTCCCTGTTACTACATGCAGTGCTTCAAGCCAAAATGAAGCCATATTGTTAAAGCAGCATGGAAGGCTCTTTTATTTCTGCCAAGTATCTGGCATTCTCAAATGGACATCTTTCAGGAAATGTGAAAAATAACTGCAGTCTTCTACCTTTCCAAGGTCATTTGTCATAACAAAGAGGCTGTACTGATTCCAATAGTCAAGGATAGATTCTCAGCTTGTCACAGCTGAGCTGAGAATTGTTCAGCAGAATAAGCAATCAAAATGTAATGCCTTAGTCAAACTCCAGGCAGAGGGTAAAGATAAACATGTGGTAATGCTTTTGAATTCCTCCCTCCGAACAGAAAACTATAGTGTCAGAGTGACCTCTACAGGATTTCCACAGCACTCCACGACTACAGTCCCAGGGACTGTCTTTAAAATTTCTTTCAAATATATTTATTTGGAAACAGAATACAGGCATCAACCTGCAAACTGACACTCCCTCCAGCAGCAGTCTGAGATCAGTTACAACCTGAATTTACAGCTTATAGAAACTCTAATTGTGTGTTTACAGCAGACTTGCACCAGGTTTCTAGATATGAAAACTACATAAGGACACACTCTAAACATTCTGCTGGTTCAAAGGAGGTTTCAAGAAGAATTTATTGTACATAGAATAAATACAATTTGTACCAATTTTTCTCCTTTCATAATGGGTATTCCACTGCTACTGCACAAACTGTTGTCCTTTTCTGTCATCATCTTTATAAACCGCTCCTTCTTTGTACTACTATTCTCTTTTTATACTTAAGGACTCAGCCCATTCGATATAGGTACACTTTCCATCATGCTTAAAGGAAATAAAATTATCTCATAAGTGAGAATAATCTAGATGGAGGCACATGTGAATAGCAAGAAAAAAGTTCTTCCATCTGAATTTTTACTCAGACAACTGCAAATTGCTTGTGGCTGCTGGGGAAAAAAATACCAAACAAACAAAATACAAACAAAAACCAGAATGTGACTAGGGCTTAGGCTATCTTTTAAAATGTTTTATTGGCTAAGAAGTAGTAAATAACAAGTAATTTTTGTAAAAAACAAACAAACAAACAAAAAACCCCACAAACAAAAGGATGTAAGCCCTGTTGTGACTCATAAGATTCCACAACAGTCCACGGTTACCCTGTGAAAAGGTAGACATTCTACCACATGTATTAACAGGAGTGTAGTCATGCAGACTACACCCAGAAACATCAGAAATAACTAGTCTGCCCTAATCAGCATTAGCTGTATTGCCAAGTTCCATTTCAGACAATGCATTTCAAAAAGAACACTGAACAGCTGAAAAGCATATTTTTGGTATGACTTCTATTCCTCCCCTTCAAAAGATAAATAAAGTTTCTCATTCACATGTCTTCACATTTTTTACTTTTATTCTTGTATACATTTTAGGATTATTCTTTTTAGCCATAGTTCATTAGACTGTTTATTAAGCTAATATTAAGCTAATTTATCTTTGTGAACTTATTTGGCATATTGGACCGCGTCATATAGATGGACTGATAATCTCGATAAAGTCAATCTCTTTGTATTATATCTGGAAATAATGTGAGGTGATGCATTATTTAATGTTCAGTTTCCATTTCCACCTTCATATACACTAGTTTTGTACACATATATGCAGCTTCCATCTTCATATACACTATTCATAAAGGCAGACAACCTTTGCTAATAAGATAAAAATGCTGTGAAGCCCTAGATTTTACTAAAAGCTGGTCAAAGCTGACGTGATACAGAGCTATAACACACAGGCTCTAGTAGATTGAGCCTTAAGGAAGTACTTCTTTCTTTAACTCTACGATCCACATGTGGGTGAACATCAACCAGCGAAATCGTTCATCCAGCTCCTCATGGGAAGTGGCTCTCAGCGATTCTATTATTTACCAGTATGAATTATACAAATGCTCCAGTGATGAATAAGCATTTAAGATTCTATACAAAAATTACTATTTTCCACTGTATTTCAGGAAGTTAAAGTGGAATAGAATGTTTGGAAAGCTGGAGCGAGACCTCAATCCGTAACTCACCAAACGGTAATGCAAAGTAGACATCCAGTAAGATCTCATGTGAAGTTGGTGTTTTTGTGCCTTGAATCTCACTCCCGTTTTTTATTACTTCAGAATGCAATGTCCACCAGGAACCTGGACCTTCCTAGGAAAAAACGTTCTGACAGTTACCTGGGTAGGATTTATAGCATTATCCACTTCTTCCTGAATGAAGGTTCCCCTAAGTCAATAGAAGTTTCTTTATGACACTAGCAGGCTTAGGATCTACCCTAGATTCTTCCAACTTTTGTTTATGTAAGTAGTAGTTAGGACTTCATGAAGTTTTTTCACAGGCATGGAATTTGAAACCATAAAATATTTGCTCTACTATGTAGACAAATACACATTAAGATGGTCAGATGATTAAAACGCAAGAAATATGAATATTGAAAATTACTCTTATGGACTGAGATTTTCCACTTCCCCTTTGAACTGGTTCCAAACAAGTACATTCCAGCAAGGCTGAAGCAATCAATATATGTTAATAACCAAGCCAGAAAAGAGCTTGCGAAGTAACACTCCCTTTTAGGTTATTTCTGTGTTATATAGCCCAGAGCAGAGCTGCAGGGTTAAGAGGAGCAGGATAAATAACTAGGAAAGTTCCACAGTGGCCTAATTATAAATGAAGGCTTAGAGGGTCTGAAGAAATTAAGAAACAACCTCTACTCTTGCATCTTTGTTTGTTTAAAATTTCAGCATTTACTGTTAAGCCACAACCTCTGTGTCAGCAAGTTTTAACTCAACAGCAGCTAGGGTAGCAGAGCAAAACAACTGGCTTTGGGGCCTGAAATAGCGCTTGGCAGCTGTGATACAGAGCAATTTCTAATTTAAGCAGGAATTACTTTCTTCCCCTGCTTCCATTCTGAGTAGAATCATTGAAATGTCAGTTCAATATATGAATATTTATTAGTTCTGTCCTGGTTTCGGCAGGGATAGAGTTTATTTCCTTCCTAGTAGCTGGTACAGTGCTGTGTGTTGGATTTAGGATGAGAACAATGTTGATAACACACCGATGTTTTAGTTGTTGCTGAGCAGTGCTTACACTAGTCAAGGACTTCTCAGCTTCCCATGCTCTACCGACTGAGCAGGCTGGAGGTGCACAAGAAGCCGGGAGGGGGCACAGCCAGGACAGCTCACCCAAACTGGCCAGAGGGACATTCCATACCATGGGACGTCAGGCTCTGTACATAAACTGGGGAAAGCTGGCCGGGGGGGCCGCTGCTCAGGGACTGGCTGGGCATCTGTCGGCGGGTGGTGAGCAACTGTACTGTGCATCACTTGCTTTGTGTATTATTATTATAATATTTCAATTATTAAACTGTTTTTATCTCAACCCATGAGTTTTCTCACTTCTTCCGATTCTCTCCCCCATCCTACCAAGGGGTGGGGGGGGTGGGGGCGCACGCAGAAGTGAGCGAGCGGCTGTGTGGTGCTCAGTTGCTGACTGAGGTTAAATCACGGAAGTTCCTATAAAGAATGGCTATAGAGACTGATGGGAGATGCTGTAGGAAGAAGTTTTCTGATTCTCTCTCCTTTACCTCATCATCAATTGCCTTTTTTATTTTTTAGAAAATTTAAAGAAGGCAAACTTAATTTTATTTGCAAAGACTAATTTAATCTTCTCTAATACTTTTTTAAAAATAGACTCCATGGACTATGTGTAGGAAAGCATATTAATGAATGGGAGAATTGTCGAGTATTAGAATAAAGTACCTCTTAGTTTTTCCGATTTCAGACAATTTTGCAGCACTTGCAGGTTGCTTCAGTATTTCCACACTCCCAGAAACCTTTTTTCTTTATTTTCTAGCCTACTGAGAGCAAGCATGCTCATTCTGGTGGCTATGACTGTGCTGGGTACATGATAACTCTTGGGATTGACCCATTTTCTCCACTCGTCCTCCTCCATGCGCTCATTGTACTGTTAATTTCTTCCATAGTACCACAGGGCAAAATTCTGTTCTCCTCTTTGAGACAATGGCCAATTCTCTTGAGAGACAGAACAACAGTATTTTGTCCATTTTAATAAGAGGTTTACCCAAGGTCACACAATGAAGACCCAGGCCAGGAACCTCAATTTGAAATTCCCTCACTCTAGTCACATAAACCAAACGGTCTCTGCCTCTCTAATAATTCATGAGAGCAGATAACTCTAACCCACTTACTGAATTATACCTGACACAGTATGTGAGCCATTTCTCCAGGGTATATGGCTAATGCACATCAGTTGTCACTTTGAGAGTCACATGTGCATTATGCCTCAATATTATAGACTGAAACAAATGAGAGAGAAATATACATCAATCATAAATGTCATTACAGTATTTGGGGAGGCTAAGAATGAGAAATTAATTGGATTTTACTCAGTGTTTTATATTTCCACAGAAAGTCAACTTACATCTGTTGCATGTTCCACAGTTGCAAGGGGAATCCATAAAACTCCTAAAATGCTATCCCAGAGCAAGCCTTTCTTCCACAGCTCTATAATGAAGCCCCTTCCATCAGCACAGATTTCACTAAAAACAATGGATACACAAACCATTAAACTGAAAACGCAGTCTCAGCTGCTCAGTAATCTACCATAATAACTTGAGTTAGTGACTTACAGCAGATACAGAGGTGTTTTGTTTTCAGTATACTCATAAAATGCAAGATAGAAGGCATGATACAACAGGTTAGACTGGACAAGCCAAGTCTCAAGTCTTATTGCTCAGGATTGCTCTTACAAACTGATGATGACAATTCTGCTGGAAATGTAGCACAGAAGTCCCAGTTGTCAGTAGCTTTATTTTGCTACAAGACTTGGGCCTATTGGATATAACCCAAGAAGAAACCATGACCAAGAAGTGCCTTTAGTTCAGCTTTAGCTTCTTCTGAGCAGCTTCTGCATATGGAATTCCTCAGTTGCCTTCTCAGGACAGCCCTGAAGAACCTGCATTCTCAGATTCCACTGTAGCTAACTTGTTAGGTGCAGGAGTAGTATAATATAGCTAGCCTTTTGTCAGGTGAGTTCTTTTAGGTAAAACTGGGATCCACAAAAATGATCAGTCTTTTAAACATAAAACTCAAAGGAACATTTTCAATGAAACAGTAGGAGTTGGCAATGTCAGCTATGACGGCACATACTGTCAATCAACATGGACCATCAGCTAAGAATGATTTATAATGGTATGGGAAAAATTCCACCTTCCCTCACAAAAATCTAGAAGGAAGTGCCAGACCATTTCCTACAGGAAACTGAATCAGTTTCTTGTTTTCATTGTAAAGGAGGCCAGGTATAAAAGACATTTGAAGCTTCTTCCCTTCATTAGAATTGAGACGTTGCACTACACAACAAAAATACAATCAGAAAACAGCTCTCAACTTCAAGAGCTGCAGATCCAGGCTCTGTTTTAGTTCTACCTGTAGGATGCATGCATTTTATTACTAACTGGTTTTGACCAAAAAAATACCATACCACAACCTTATTTTGCAAGAATTTAAAATAAAATTTTGCCAGGCCATATGACTCACCCATGACATTGAACTAAAATTAAGACAGAAGTTGTTTCTTCATGGAATGTCTGGCATTCCTTTATATATTACTATAAGCAGTTACAGACCAGTTCTGAAAATATGAACACTATAATAAAGTAGGCATTGGTGTCTCTGCTGTGACTGATTGTGTGTAATCTCCATTTGACTGAATTAATTTTAAGTACTAAAACTAATCTTCAACTGATTTGTGTTGTGTACCACAGTGTATTACTGTGTACTTAAAGTTACCAGGAAAAGGACAAGTGAAATCTGAGAAGGGCAAAGAATGCCACCCCTGAGACGGGTATTGAACCCATCACATTGCTCTCAAAAAACATTGTGTTGGCTGCCTCAATGTCTAATCTTCCTCTCTACTCATGCAATTGAATACATATAGTGACTTCTTGTTTTGTTCAGCTTCTCCCTTTACAAATATGTTATGGAAGACAGACTGTAAATTCTTATCTGCTGGTATTTTCAGACCCCAACTTTGGAACTGTTGCACTGATAACTGAACAGTGAAACTGCATATCAAAGGTTTAAACAACATGTAATTTTTAAAATGCAAGCTGGTAATATCTGCGTGTGACGGAACAGGTTGTTTTTACAGGCAGAGATGGAGAGAGCCCTTAAGAAAATGAACTAAAGCACGATATTACAATGTCTACATAAATGTATTTGTAAATGCCTATTTATAACGCCTTTTAATAAACGCCTGGCATTTATAAAGGCTAGCTATTGATAGTAATTTTCCTTAGCATTTTAAAAGTCTGCTGTGTTGTTGTATAGTTGAGTAGGCAGCAGATGGAGCTACAGCAACCTCATAACATATTTGCTAGAAAAGTGGTTCAGTATACTTTGGTAACATTTAAATTGCAAACTAAGAAAATTATCCTAATAAATTGCTCATTCTCATTGATGTCATGGAACACTCATTTACATACAATATGATTAAAAGAAAAGCATTTATACAACAGAAAAGCAAATGTATTAAATAATATTTTAACACATTCCTCAGGAAAATTTAGAGGACAGGTTACACACACCCACTTTAAAATATTTTTTAATTGCCTCCTGCACTAAAGGTAACAGACAGGGCAAATGCTGAAATTTAATTGATCTACTTCCTGATACACTATTACACTGTCATCCAATCCACGTCCAACGTTTTATAGCACTATTATGCCTGGATCAGTAAAGTGCCAAAAAAATCATGTTAACACAGTATTATCATACAGCAATAATTCCTCTACACTGAAACATGACAATCTTTTCTACAAGTCAAAGCTGCAGTATAAGAATGGCATTTATAAAGGCTAGCTATTGATAGTAATTTTCCTTAGCATTTTCAAAGACAGATGAGATCCTCCTGTTTGGATAATTTAGGCTGTGGCTCTGAACAGTCTGCTAGAGAAGCCTGATGACTGGGGAGTGGGGGAGGAATTAGCCCCAGATTAAGATTAATTTTATATGGTCAGAAGTCAGAATTTTTGATGACTTCTTTGATATGTCATTACATCTATCCATAAAATGGCATGTAAAGAAGGTATATATGTTGGCTTAATGTAACAGGTCCTTCAGTCACTCAGAGTCTTCAGTTAAAGCAAGCTAGTAGGCTGCTAGTTGCCTAAGAAATCAGTTGCATGACACAAAAAAAAATTTCCAAATTCAATTAATAACTTTAGGAAAAATTTGTGATTAAGATGAAGCCCTTAAGTGAGATTAAGAGCACTGTGAAATAAAATTAATTTATGTGAAATATCTGTGAAGAAAAAAAATGGAGATTTTAGAAATGCTGCTTTTAATAGAGAATAAAATTAAATTCGGGGGGGTTATTTCAATCAAAATGTCAGTTTCAGCATACATAGAGCCTGTCAAAAGATATTTTTAAGTTTTGATAACTAGAAAGTATGGAAAAATTATTTAAAAATAACTCATTCTTCTGACAAAATATTAAAATACTTGGATTTTTACAATTACTTGAAATTGTAAAAAGGACATTTTTCATAAAAATAATTAAAGCCAATTAAATGTTTAATTCTGTAAAAATATTTCAACCAACTCCAGACCTCAGGAATAAAATATAAGTGTTTGGACCCTCCTGACCAGTGAGGTGTATATAAGGCTCTAGAGAAAAGAGGAGAACAAAGACTGAGTAATAAGGTGGAGAGTTGAGTAAAGCGGACAGAGATCTGCAGACAGAAGTGAGAAACAGTATGGGTCAATAATAAACAAACTACCTAAATTGGCAGCTAAGTAGATAAATGAATGCATAAAACATGAGTCATACAGAAAGGAAATTCAGCAAAACAAAAATCAAGTTGCATGAGGATCAGTTTGAGTTCTCTTTCTTTTCATTCCTGTATTCCTAAAACATTACATGAAATTAAAGATACTGGAGACAAATATTTTCTTCCCCTTGTGGACTGCTGGCCTTGATCTGCAATATGGCTTGCAAAATTAACTTTTGTTCTGTTCCCTAGAACTAACCTGGCACCTTTTCTCTGAGCTGGATGCTTTTTCCTTGCTTTTGTGGTCTGTACATGGTCTCAGATGTTATTAAATGCTCTAAACTATCCAAATACAGCAAAGATACAACAAAACCAATTGATAAGAATTCCCTGTTACTTACAACATGAAGTCCTGTTCCCAGCAAGGTTCACTTCCTTTTCTGTCTATTGTAGTGCTTTTTAAATTTTGAACTTTTAAAACAACATATGTTTTGAACGCATCTGAAAAAGAAATAACCAGCACATTAAAACCCACTTTATTTCTTCCTAGAAGCTGTAAACATTCAACCCCATGGTAGTAGGGGTTTAACTCTTACTCCATAGAAAACATTCAGAGGTGTGGTTCAAATATGTGGATGTGAACAAGGAAGTTCTTACTAATTCTAATGAGATTATGACAGGAAAATCCCTGCCCATTATAGGTGGGAGAGAACATAATCCTAAACGCAAGCAAGTATTTTAAAGATCAACTTCCGACATGGCTTCTCACATTATTTATCTGTCTCCCTGTCAGATCTTGCGTGAAACCACTACACATTCCCTTTCTGCAAATTAGGATTTTCTTTGCCTTTCAATTGGTATGATAATATTGGTGACTGGCTAATGGGCTTTTATGTCCAATTAAGGCAAGGCCACAGACTTGTAACATGTAATTCAGTCTTGTCTTTGTGTGTGAATCTAGTTCTGCAGCAGCAAAATAGGTTTCAGATGCAGTCCCAAATGAACTCAAACATTTTTGTAAATGTCTTTGTAAATGTACAGTATAAGTATTCTTAAAATTGGACCTAATCGGCAAAAAGAATAAAATTTAAAAAATTTCAAAGTGCTTGAAAATATCACTGACAGAAAAAAGCAAAAGAACTAAGGGAAAGCTCTACCCTTTAGGGCCTCACACAGGAACCTAAGGCAGCAAAGGGCATATGATATCATCTCGAATGTGGCTGTTCAGAAAAGCTTCTCAGCTTGCATGCATGTAACACATCCTTCATTAGCCTCCAGCATCCTACATGAGGGTCAACATTGACATATGGTTAAGAATTTTTTTTTTTTTTTTTTTAAAACAGAACTACTGCCAAAATATACATGTGAGATGTAGCCAAGAACAGAAGTAATTTTTGAGCTGCATTACCACTGGTTGGTCAACCAGTCTGAGTTGGAGGGAAGCTGTCACTGTCTACATAGGCTATTGAATAGGTTGTATCAAATTACACTGCAGTTAACAAAAAGTGTGAAGAAGAGTTAGCTCTGTACATCCTATATGTAGATCTTATCGATTAGGACTGATGATAACATTTGACAAAAGGACTAAAGGATGTTATGTAATGGGAACTATTTTTTTTTCAATAAACAAAAATCAAGTGATCAGTTATCTATTTATTTTCTGTAATTCAGTGCACCAGTCTTCTCAAACATGTCTTTGTTCTTTCACTGAAAAAACCTGACAAAGTCAATATAGATTTAGAAGTCTGGTGACATATTTGTGAGAAATGTTGTCAACAATGCATGATTCACATACCGTCCTATTGCTCATTCTGTGTAACTGAGGCAAACAAAACAAAATTTGCAAAATGTTTTGTAGTTGCAAAATTTGTTTGTAGTTTGGAGGCTTGCAACTCAAGGTTGGAGAAATTTTCAAAGAGAACCCTCCATTAAATCACTTGGCTGAAAAATAGCAGCCTAAAATGTTTAACTCCAGCCATTTTGAGCACCCACATTTATATCTACATTTAAATAAAAAATACAACAACCGACCTCCCCCAAAATTAAAACCTATCTCCTTTAAATGAAGCCGTAACCGACAAGATAGAGACTTTTTAAGACACATTTTTAGTGGTAGTCTGTTTCATTGTTCTATTATCTTCATATTCAACTCTACAACTTCTTTCCCATTTGAAAATTTCATGTTCCTATGCATCATGCCAGGTGATCAAAACTAATCACCTTCTATCTTTCCCCAGCTCCTTTTCTAGCACAAAAACGAAAGCAATTTCAGATTGCCTGTATTATCGTTGTCTTGCCTGGAACCTTGCCATCTGCCTTTTAAAATAGCTGTTCCTCCAGTAGTTCCTTGACTACTTTGGCTCTTCTCTGGATCTAAATGTTCAGGACTTTACCACTAATTCACCTTCTTCAGATTTCATGAGTTATGTCAAGTAAGAAAATAACTGTGAATATGTAACCTCCTTGAAGAGTAACAGTGTCAAGACTGAATAGTGTTACAATACCCTGGCAGTGGAAAGGAGCTGTAAATTTTGCTTAATGATAAGAAGCTTTGTTTCCACAAAGCCATTATTGCAGCTCCCAACCCTTTGGCTGTCAAAAATGGAGCCACCTAGTGCAACTTTTTGTGAAAAGAAAAAGGGCAGGCTATCCCCTTGCTCATACCTTCAGGTTTCAACCCAAAACGGAGCACAGCAGCTTCATGGCAGCCTACACAAAGTAGTAAATTAACCACAGGAGAATGCCAGAGTTTTGAGAAACATGCAGGTATCTCAATACTGCTCTCAGTCACCACCTACGTCATTTTTCTGCCCAAGAAAACATGGCCAATTATCAGAGAATACACCATTCGAACTTTATTGCCATTACTTATGGCATTAACAAGTCTTCAACAGCATTCAAAGGAAAATTAAAGTTACTTAACTTTTATCAGGTAATTCTGTTTGATAATCATCTTTTGTAAATTATCACCTATTTTGAATACCAACAAAACACAAGATTTGCTGAAGCCTGCAGAACATTTTTCTGATTGCATTAGGTTTTCAATGAAAGAAAGATGATTCTTCAGTCTATACTTCACACACATACTTCACAGCCTACTGTGAAGACTACCTACTTCACAGAGAGTTAGAAGAATCATGTTCCCGGAAAGCAGCTTAACCTGTGCTAGTTCGGGTTACCTTTCTTTAATCCAGATAACTTTAAATGATTTGCAGAGGTTGCTAAAATGTATTAGCCAGACATCTACTGGCAATTTTTGCAGCATTGATTAGGCCGTACACCAGCTTCTCCTGAGAACTAGTAATTACAAAGATCTTGAAGGCCTTAAATTTACAGTCTACCTACATGTGAGAAATCTCTGGCTGTTTGGACTTTCTTTTCCACTCTGGCTAAATCTTGGTCCTGGAAGCAGACTTAAGAGTCCTGGACAGCTTGATTTTGCTCATGTTTATTGCCTAGGGCCTATACCTGGTCTCTATAACTGTCCATCAGCATCTCCCATCTGAATTTCCTCACTGGGAAAATTCAGACGCCATCTCCTCCCTGCCCTGGTGAAGCTAAAATCCTGCACTCTCTATGTAAAAAAATAGTTTCTCCTGACTGATGACCCATTTAGGTCATCAAATTATGTAAAAATTCTTTTTAGTGGAAATATCCTTTAAATACCAATAGTTTGAGAGACAATAAAGATTAACAACTGAAAATTACAGATTGTCTGAGGCCACAATCTTGTTTGTTAATTTGATCTTTAAAATATATACATATATTTTTTAATCCTTTCCTCATTTGTTTTGTACAGAACTGTTGATGAAATGCATGCAAGTAGTCCCAGGCTTAAATGATTCTTTAGTGTGATACACACATGCATGCACAAGAAATAAAAAAGTAAAGCAGAAATTAAAAAGGAAATCAGACTTACCAGCTGCTTTATCCAACCTTCCTTTTTTCACTATTAAAAAAATAAATTGATTTATTCAGATAATACCTTAACAATGCTTGCCAATAAATTTTATGAAAAAAAAAAAAAAGGGATTTCTGTGGTATAAAAAGCCTCAATCAAAAATGAAAACAAGTACTCTTAAAAAAAACATAAGCACCACTGTGGTAAGATAATATGATTACGCGGAATTCTTTGGGAAAGAAAACGTGGGAAGTCTTTGCAGCTTACAGAAACTTAGTAAATACATTGATACAACACAAAGGGCAGAATGGAGACCAGGTGACCAAGGAGTGTAGTATACTATCCATCACCTCATAATGCTAGTTTGAAATTCTCAGTAATAGTCACAGAAGGCTCACAGACTTTGTATAATCTAAAGTAGCTTCTACCACCTTACAAAGAATCCTTTATTACATTGTATTTACTCTGCCTGTTAGAAAAGACATACTGCAGTAAACACCTTACCAATTAGAGGTCAACATTTCAAATCCCAACTTTGCTCAACAGCCTTGAGTTCCACGCTATGGTATCACTTCCATTAATGAAAAATGCCCTGAAGCTAAAAGGATTGTGATTCAGATAGTCATCATAATTTTGAAAAGCTAACCTGGTCATCATTTTGTATCAAGTGTCTGACGACTAAAGTTCATTGAATTTAGACTTTTAAACAATATAAGTAAATACTCTTTAAATTTTCCTGCCATATCAATACATGTAAGACAGTTCAGTTCAATTTGAATGAAACATCACTGCAGTCCTACAAAAATTAAACCTGCTCTAAGAATATACTTATGTATATCCTATATTTCACTACTATACTTAGGACCTAGTAATTGCCAATAAAACAAAAAGTTGAGTTCACAACTTCACACTGCAAAGGTTCCCAAAAGCTTACCATTATTTTCCGACTCCCTTCCTACTTGCCTAACTTCACACCTACCTTCCTTTTCCTTATTCTTGCTTTCATCTATCCCTAAAAATCCCTAAGTATTCTATGGAATTGCATCATATTTGCAAAATGTTTATCTGACAGCCTGAATAATTCCATCATGTCTCACACTGAGAAAGCTTTCACTTTCAGCCCAAATGAGGAGACGCCAAAGTGTCACTGAGCCACAAGCAGAGTCCAAACACTGCAGCAGTTCAACTGCACTGCAAGAGTGCAGAATTTACACGCTGCACTTACTTGAATTCCCTTGAAGGAAGTACTTCAAGAAATATTCCCATCGACTTACATGAACAATGCGCATCTGCAGTCTATGAAGTTGCTTTTTATAGCCACCTACTAAATATTTGTCACATTGGTGAAGGAGCTTGTGCAATAAGAAAAACCTACCTTTTACAGAGAGAAGTTCCATTCCAGTAGAAAAATATTTTAAAAGAACATAAACTGAAATTAAGCTTTTTTTACAAACGGGAAAAAATTAGTTTGGCTTGAAGACTAAATTACTCTCTTCCTCCTGTTTTCTCAGTGCAAGTGTGTTTCACTTTTCCTGCATGCTCCTCCCATGTTTCGCATGGAGGAAAGCCAGCCAATTGATGGAGCAGAGAAAGACCAACG